CAAACTTATTTTAATCTTAACAAATTAAAGTTAATCTAAATGTTTGGTTAATATTATGACTTGATTAATATTTTGATAGATTATCGATTATAATAATTTATATTAATTAAATATTAATTACATATTGATAGAATAAATATGCATATGATAATCTGCTCTGATATCAAGTTTAGCAAGTTTTTGTATAGAGCGACTACGTAGAATTTACAAATATTTGCTGTTATATTCTACTGCAAATGGCAAATAAGCCGTGTTAAGATCTAAAATATGTTACATGAGTAGAGGCAGTTAATGACCCATTTATAATTAAGTTTTTGTTTATGATATGTAGTAGCTGATATAAAAGTTTTTCATGGGAACTTTTGACTGCTATTATCTAAAACAGCTCACATTTACCCTCACAATATAAATTTTATATCTACAAACTTTTCATTTTATTTAGTCTAAGGCTCCTTTTATTTTAGTTATGTAATTCATCATAAATAAAATAAAAGGTAGATTACATACATATGTTATTTGATTTTAAATTGTTGACGATTTAATTGGACCCANGTAGATTACATACATATCTTATTTGATTTTAAATTTTTGACGATTTAATTGGACCCAGCCTAAATAAATTGAAATATTATTTAGAAATTTTTAGGGAAAAAAATTTAAACTCAAAAAACGACAAACATTAAAAAAAAAAAAACGTAGGTACGTATTTTGGAAAAAATGTTACCATTATCAATGCTAAACCCATATTGACACCCCTGTATAATGTGTAGTATAGTTTCATCGTTCATATATTTTTTTATAATTTTTAAACATTGACTTTTTTATAATAAGTTAAGTAGGGCATTAATATATAAGTATGAATTATCTGAATTATCGAGGAAGAATCCCTCGGCAGCGATCCGAGGTAGGCTATGTTTGCAAATATTTTTGAAATGTGCACTATAGATTTTTTTACTTTAAAATACATTTTATATTATTCAACTTAAACACGTATGTATGTTTTCCTGTTATCCTTGACGAATAGGATATCAGTAAAGTGTTTTTTTTTAATTTTAGTACTTTTGTGTGTATGTGTATTTTGCCGTGACGTCGGAGTATACGACAACCCCTACCTACATAGCTATTAAATAATTCTAGAATATTTCTTTTTGATGTTAAAATGTTTCAAAATATAACCCGAATATTTAAAAATATTTTCACAATGTTCTCAGAATATACTTTAGCAGTGAATATTACAATCGCACAATATATTAAAAGAACTTTCCTAAGATATACAAAAATATTTTTACAGTAATTCCTGGATGTTTTATGAAAATAAATAATACATAGTTATTATATATAATACTGAAAAAGATATTTATTAATTTCATTATAGAAAATTTTTTAGTATAATATTCTGTATTTATTATATTTAATATATTATCAAAATATACATAAAAATTTATTTTTTGAGCATATTGTCGAAATATTCCAAAAAGAATATATTTGTTATTATTTTTATTACATATTGTCACTATTTTTGTTTCAAAATATTTTAAAAAGTACTTTGCAATATTAATATATTGAAACTGCTATATGGATTGTTGTTTGACGTTATCACTAAGTTATATTATTAAATTTTCCCAGCTTACAGAAGTTGAAAATTGTTATAAGTTGTTATATACAGTTGTTATATAGTTGTATATAAAGATGTTAAATTCTTATACGGATAATAGTAACCACTTGGTTTCTCTGTAAAAACAAAAGTTTATTCATTGTATATTATTTACATTATTTACACTATTTAAAAGATTACCTGTAAAAACAAAAGAAACAATAATTTATGTTAATTATTATCACTCNCAAAAGTTTATTCATTGTATATTATTTACATTATTTACACTATTTAAAAGATTACCTGTAAAAACAAAAGAAACAATAATTTATGTTAATTATTATCACTCTTTGCTTATTAACAATTTAAAAAAATAATTTGCTTAATTAACAATCTTAAAATTAAATCTTAATTTATTATTATCGAATCTTCAACATTTTATCATCTTATCAGTTCCATTTAGTGGGGTAAATAAAAGGCGTGCGAAGAAAGTATTTTCTTTGCATATATATATATACATGTTACAGCTTATTTTAATTAAAATTATCAAGTAAATATTTTGTACAACAATGTAATATGAAAAATTAAATTATTATTTGTAAAATCAATAAATATATAATGTGTAATAATATACGTACCGGTTGACAAAATCATAATTGAAAATTATTAATAGTATTTTCCCATAGTCTAATTTATCACCACTGTAGTGTACTTAATATTTATTGAAATGTTATCGAGCGAAATTAAAACATTATTGAAACGTGTTTATGGGAAAATTCATTACATTTAAATGAAGAGCAAGAATTTAAATCACTTTTGTAGGATATTGATGAATTTATCATATCAAAGGAGTAATTATGGTTTTTAATATATTTTCTTTTACTTTAGAGTTTTTTTTATACATTTTCAATGCAAATTTATTTTACGTATTACGTGGCTGATCTTTTAATTATTGGGTAGTGTTAGACTTTGTTGACTATTCTACTAACTTTTAGTTAAATGCTAAAATCAACAATGTTAGTTTTATGGTGTAGTCTGTTATAGATAAAACAAAAAACAAATTTATATTTTTTGTTTGTCTATTTTATAAAAAAAATTGTGACGAATATTATTATTTCAAAACTAAAAAATATGTCCTATCCTAAACTTCGATTTTTTTTTTTGTTATATTATATAGGTAATCAAGATGATTTTTTAAGAGTTGATAAAAATTTATTTTTATTACTGTTGACAAACAAAAAATTTATATATTGTATTAATGGGATACTGGATTTAATAATTCATTTTCAACAAAAATAATATCTTTGAAAGGAGACATACCCCTCTAACTTACCAAATATTCTTTAGAAATAAAAATGTACGTTATAGAGTATCAGGTATTAACTTTTCTTTGTAATAAAAAACGTGAAGAATCTTTAGTCAAACTTCAACAATAATATAAAACAGGAAGGAGTTACAACTCTTTTTCGTTCTCGATAAACTATGGTTGATCGAGTCCGAATTTTCAAAGTAAAAGTTTTTTATACGAAATAGAAATATACTGATATCAAATATCCGAAAATAAAATCTTACTCTATAGGTTTGAACCATCCAATGTTTACACTGTAAACAAAATATCTAAAATCCAACTGTAAACGTTTATAACTTTCAAAATGAATTATCATATCATATTCCTACATTTAATTTTTTTTAAAAATAATTATTGCCTCCTTAGACTACGTTAAAAACATATTTTCTACTACGAATCACTAAAAAAAAAAATTTTAAAAAATGTTTTCTCTTTTTCAAAATTTTGAAATATCCCTTTTTTAGGTCTTTCCCACAAACATTTTTAATGAATGATCAAGTAACAAGCATATTAATACATTGAGTGTGTGTAAAGCTCAGGCAGAGTTATGTATACTAATGCGAGTTGCACCTATGCACGCTTTGTATTAAAATGTTTTTAACTTGATTGTTACTTGTTTTAAAACTGTTATCAATACATCATATTTTTGTTAAGAAAAAGGCTATTTTTTGATTAAAAAAAACAATTTTATTAGTGATAAATATTTAAAAAAAATGTTTTGATAACAATAATAATTTTTAAAACATTTTTAACGGAATTATATTTGGATCAAAAGTTATTAGAATTATTAGTGAGATCTAAGACACTTAAAATATGTCAAATTGATAATTGTTAACCAAACATCTTATCTTGAAGTAATAATCACCTAGTGTTCAATTTAATACAATAAACTAATATGCATTAAAGCACTAATGACAATAATATTTTTATACGGTACAATACAAGTCTGTATAACTATGTACACAACTAAAATTGATATAAAGGCTTGTTTTTGTTCTCACTTCATCAAGGTTGTAATATAACCCAGACTTCAGTTTGGCTATTTCGAATCCGGCGTTTTTTAATAGACTGAGTCCCTTTTAGAAATATCAACCATCATTTTCGTCAGTGAAGCTCATAGAATATTACCTGAATCAAAACAAAAACTTTATTTGTTCTTTTTATATAATAAAAAGTGCATGTCAATTTTAAAATAGACAATCAGTAATTTAACAGACCAGCTGCTATTAACGAATTTCATCGAAATTAATTAATCACATTAAAATACAAAGTAAATGAATTTAGACTATCCAAATTATTAGCATTAATAATTTGTGTATAGTAAATGTTACAGCAAAATATAATATATATATATTTATATATCAACTTTCAAACTTTAAGCAATTACCAATATGATCTCAAGGTATTCATGGGTCGCCATCTCCGCTTCGTTGCCTCAGTGTTATACTAAAGGTGCCGACTATTTGGTTTACCTCTTGCATCTTAAGGAAAAAGACCATCAATTGCTCCTCTTTATATCTACTAGTCTAATTGTTCAGAACCCTCGGACTCTACGCCTCTCTAAAACCTTTATATAAACAAACAGACCTAAGAACACTTTTATCCTGATCATAACAAAAGGCCATAAAAAAATAAATAAATAGAAATAGATGAATAGTATTTATATGTAATTCAATTATGAGGTACTTTATAACCTGCTATTACTCTATTTTATAAGGTAATAAATTATTGTTTTGTTTGGCAAAACAAAAATATCGTTGAATAAAATATGTAAGACATTCTAGTAAAACCAGATCATATAATTCGATATCTATTTTATTATAGGTTTAAGTAGTATAATTAAGATAAATACATAAGAAAAGCAACGTTTTTGAACAAACAATTGAATTATTATTTAGAAACTATTGTTTTATTAATTTAAAAATTGAAAACTCCACTAACTATAACTCGTGTAATATCTTAAAAGTATGAAATATATTTTTTTAATCTCCATAAGATTTTATATTTAATAATTTCAAATTTGCAAATTGAACTAAAAAAGAAGATTAAAAAAAAAGTTTCACATTTTTAAATTATAAACGTACTAAAATATCATCTTTAAAGGACTAATAAAATAGGTTAAACATGAAATTTTGAATCGACATTTTGCACGAATTATTTATAACATATTAAAAATCAAAATAAAATTTTTAATGTAAATACTCGTTTTTATAAATTAGTAATACTGTCAAAAAAAAAAGGCGGTGGAAGAAATCTAATTGAAGTTATTCAATCTAAATGAGATAAAAATCCAAAGAATTAAAAATTTTTTTCCACATCAAAAAGATTTAAGAAAAAAAATGTAGGAATAGGCCATTCGACGGGCGGGTTTCAACGTCGCACACCGAGCATGAGACACTGTAGCGTAACCGACTCGACATCAGTACATCACTCACGATTTAGGATAAAAAAGAAAAATTTATGGTAGTTCGAAAATTTAAAGTCGTTTCATTTAAATTAGAAAGCAAAATATTCAAAATAAGTTAAAATTTTTATTCAATTTAAATAAGATTCTTGAAAAATTTATAAAAAAAAAAAAAAACGGTAGCTTAGTGGGATCGCGGCACAGTATGGACGTGGCATAGTTGGGACAAGTCTAGGCGATATCAGACAGTGATTAAAATCACTATTATAAAAATCTCTTCGATTCAAATCTGTAGATAATGTTTAATTTTAAGAATTTAGTAGATAATTACAAAAACCACTTCAACTACTATTATTTCCTTAATTATATCCTGATAGTGGTTCTTTGATTTTAAAGTATTATATATGAATAAATATATATTTATTTTGAATATATTTCTTTACTGTTAACGTGTATACAAATTTAAATAGCTTGATGTAATTGTCGTAACTCAAAAATATAAATGAAAAAATTATAAAATGAAAAAAAAAAAGGTCAGAATGTATGTTATTGTTGGTGTAAAAAATGTGTAAGTGAGAGTTACTTTTGATTCGAGGTGTAATTCGAGGGTCGTAAAATAACGATGTAAAAAAAATCTTACCTGGTAAATTCTCTGGTTCTTATAATTATCCTTAGTGCTGATATCGATGAAGATGATAAATAAAATACACAAGTTCAGATTTATAGTTCACAAATTACACATAAAATTTCGACAATGACGATCAAGACGTTCGCACAACTTAATGCGGACCACGAAAAGAACAGCCCAATACGGAACATGAAATGAACAGCCGGGAGCAAGGGTTTGCTCTGGCTTTTTATAATATTTTTTTACCCCCAAAAATCGTCACTGTCGAATTTTTAGTATAATTGTTTATTGATAAATAAGCATGAAACATAGAGATTAATACAGATGAATAGAACATAAATTATTTTGACATTTACATATATAACATTAACATGTTTTTTTACAAGCAAGACGAAAATTGATACAATGCATATAACTATTAATAGTAGAATAACAAAGATGACAAAAATAATATATAGATATTCTTTTGGTGAGGAAGGATTTTTAAAAGTAATTATTAATTGATTTATGACCGAACCGCATGCACTACAATGTAGTTAAACAGAGTGAGTTTTTTGACTATTTCTCTTAAATGTTTATCTAAGTTTTTATTCAAAAAGGATCATGTCCTTGTAAGAATATAATGTATAATGAAACAAGTTAAAATGTACCATTTCTATGGATAGAAGTGGTGACTATTTGAAATAAAAAAAGAATATACTAATAAATATTAAAAAGATAGCATTGTTGATTACATGAACAGGGTATTTTAGTGTTGTCTCGTATAAATAATAGTGACGATTATATTACGACTTAATACTTTATAAAACATTTTTTTTTACTTATGAATAAATACACTACATTTCAATAGAATCAAAAATTTAGAATTTTCTAAAACAACTTTTCGTGCTGTTTTCAAATTTGCACTTAAACTATTTCTATCACTTCTAATTTTTGACATTATTACTAATTACATATAAAATTATAATTAAAAAAAAAAAAAATAGTTTACAAATTATTACTGATTTTTAATATGTTAAAAATAATCAGTGCAGAATATCATTTTTAATCTATTTTTTTTGGTTCTGTAAATTTGTTTTTTTGTGAAAGTTTATAATAAAAATACATTAGACTACAAGGAAACAAAAATATAATTTTTTAAATCAATTTTTGCGCTGTTATCAAATCTGCAATTAGACTTTTTCTATCACAAATTTTTATGCCGTCAGGAAATTTTATAATTACTATTTACAGTAAATTTATTAGAAAAGTTCGATTTTTTTTTTGTATTTTTATCGTATATATCACTTAAATAGAAATCATAGTAATCATTTCTAAGTAACTTTTGATGTTTAAAAAGATTCTACAATTGAAATATTCAGAACTAAAATTAATTTTTGCATTATTTTGCAAAATATCAATAAATAACCTACTTTTTTAGTCCTTTAAATTTGATTTATGTGAAAGATTATAAAACATAATAATGTTAAATTTGTTACATGACTGTTAGCTCAACTGAAAGTTTGAAATTGAAATCATTAAATAGAAAATTTAATGAGAATTAAAATATGATATTGATAAAATTAATATGAAGCAGGAAATTTTACTATTTATTATAATTTTATCAGAAAAGCTCAATATTTTTTTTGCATTTTTATCGTAATAAATCATTTAAATAGAAATCATAGTAAGCATTTCTTAGTAACTTTTGGTGTTTAAAAACATTCTATAATTGAAATATTCAGAATTTAATTAATTTTAATGATTTACTTGAACTAAAAAAAACATTCAAAATGTTGTTAAAAAAATTTGATTATTATTGTAAAAATCTATTCTTAAATTCAAATGAAACTAAAAATAATTTTTTTTTTATTTTTACAGCAACATGTTACTATAAAATGTGAAATGTTAATTACTGGTAGTAACGCACACAAATAGAGTAAAAAATAATAAACTACAAAGTAAAATTATTTAATTTTGTAGTTGAAAACTATTAACACATAAAACCTAATTCGACAGTAAATACTTTTAAAATATAGGTGAGAGCTGAAAAAATAAATAGTAACCCCAAAAGAAAACCACATAGTAAAATAATTTTAATATGAATAAGAAATATCTTCTAACTGGAGGAGACTGTAGTGTTGGAGTCCTTGATATTCAATGAAGTTATTGAATCTAAATAGATAAAAAATCAAATGAGTTGAAAATTTTTTTCTAATTCAAAAAGAATTAAAAAAAAAATGCAGAAAAATTTTTCTTGAAAAATTAAAAGAAACAAAAATATTTAAATAAGTTAACTTTCTATGCTTTGTCAATTATACTTATATAATATTTATGAAAATCAATGTACTCCCCTTGTAAGGTATTTTAAAATAAAATACAAAAACCTAGAATTTTAACATAAATAGAGCATTTTTAACACGCTTATATTAGTTTCATCTGTATGCGTGTATGTTTGTAACTCTCCATAGTCCACGTGTTAATATTTTTGTGTATCCCGTCGTCTATGGCCTTGAGACTAGATTATCGTACCGCATTAAAATTTCAAAAGTTAAAAATTATTTTTAACTTTTTAGTTCGATGTACTTTAAAAGCTTATATTTCGTTTTACACCATTTGTAGTATTTAAGCTAATTTTTGTATAATATAATTAAAAGTTTTATAGATCGGAGGTTCCAACATATAAGTGAAGCATTATGCAGTGATCAGTAAGTAANTTTATAGATCGGAGGTTCCAACATATAAGTGAAGCATTATGCAGTGGTCAGTAAGTAAGGAAACAGGTAAATTGTTATTAATTAATTATAATTTAAGTTATAAATATCTGATACAGTTAAAAAATCTAAGAACAGGTCATCCTAGATGTCCCTTTAATTGAGTTAAGGTATAATATAAATTAGTAAAAGAACAAACAACGTTTACCAATGTAATAATATAACATAGTGATTTATGAAAATAGTTGTAAGCAAATTAAAATAAAGTATTGATCAATGTGTGTTTATAACATAATAAGGTTATTTTTTGTTATAAAAAATCAGGATTGGTTAATTTAAATTTTTAATATCGAAACATTTATATGGCAAAATTAAAATTTTAAGATAAAAACGAATCTATGTCAACTTTAGAAAAATAATTTTTATCTATTCAAAATCGATATCAGTAATTTACTATGCCATCTTTTGGAACGCAAAGTACTCAAATGGAATGCTTTCATTACTGGTACATTATGATGAATAGCATTTGGAATTCTCCGGCACTTCGGTTAAGAATGAAATTGAATTCTTTGCACCATGATCCCATCAGTTTTTGTGTAAAGGTTTTAACTTCAATCGACTATTTGATCATTCTAGAGTGGAAATTTAGTTTATGAATAGCTATATGTAATAATGTTCCGTAATAAACTTGGCAATAATCAAGTGGTAGTTTTGAGTTTACAAATTCTTTACTATTAAATTAAAAACTCAAACATTTTATTAAATTCAAAATATGTGTCCCATTTAAAAAGACAAAGTTAACACGCTTACAAGGCATACGGGATGAACATAAAAAGTTTTAAATACTTAATAATTCAAGAATAATGTGTAACTAAAGAAAACCAAAAAAAAAATATTTAAATTATTATTACTCTGTAAGTAATTGAGTGGGTTAAGATAAAAAAAATCACCCTATATATATGCACGGTACGAAAACCAAAAATAAAATTATACAGAAAAATAGTGTGGTCGTCATGTAATGAACATTGGGATGGTTAATACGCTACGACGGTCTAGTCAAGGCCATAGACGACGAGAAATAACACGTGTCGCGTGGAGAGTTACAAACAAACATACATACAGGTGAAACTAATATAAGCATGTTAAAAATAAAACACAATTCATATATTATTATTTTAAAGGTCGCAATAGAAAATGGGAATGAAAATAATAATACAAGCGATTATACTTATTTAGCAACCAATAGCGATGAACGTATACGTAGTTAATTCTAAAAATAAATTACCTGATTAGTAATATACTAATATTTTACCGTATGGACGATGCTACCGGTCGTCTAAACACTAATTGTGTATGTGTATGCATACCTGCATATACTGAGGGAAAAAATTTAAATGTTCGAATACGACAATTGTATTATAACTAGTGATGAGCATTTTGGATTATTTTATCGAATAGTATTCGATAGTTTTTTAAAACTATTGATGTTTTTATACAACCGAATAGTTTATTTTTAGCATAAACTATCGAATAGTTTTAAAAACTATTCAAATAGGCTACCAAATGGTTTCAAAAAATATTCGATTAGTTCTACCTGAAATTTTTGTTCGGTACACTTAATTATTATAATAAGATAAATAACAAATACTTAAAATATTATTATACAATTAATAATAGTAAAAATTAGTGATGGGCATTTTCAAATATTTTAAACTATCGATTAACTATTCGAATTGTGTATATACAACCGAATAGTATATTTTTAGCATAGACATCGAATATTTTAAAAACTATTCGAAATTAAATCGAGCAAATTAAAGAATTTGGTCCTAAGACCAAACAATGGACACTTGAGTTATTTAATGAAATAAGATCTACCTACAAACTAACCAAAACTTGAAGAAAAGATCACATAATAGCCTTTTTAAAACCAGGTAAAGAACCAACAAATCCCAAAAACTTCAGACCGGTTTCACTTCTATGTCACTTATACAAAGTCTTCGATAGAATAGTTCACAATCACATAGTAGGACACATTAACAAAATATCGGTACAAGAATAAGTAGGTTTCGGGAAAGGTAAATTATGCACAGGGCAGAGACTAAATATGACCTAGTTTATTGGTAACGGGTTCGAAAAGAAAAATATCATTGGAGTAGCCCTTATAGATCTGACAGCAGCCTATGATACAGTCAGCCATAGGATTTTGTCAGATAAAATCTACAACCCAACTAAGACAAAGATTTTACGCACATAATAAAGGCACTACTCCAACATAGAAGATTTCACGTAACACTAGGAAACAAGAAAAGTAGATGGAGAAAGCAAAAAAAATGGTCTTTTACAAGGCAATGTGCTGGCACCAATTCTTTTTAATATCTATACGAACGATCAACCGATCACTCCAGATGCAAGGCATTTCATTTACTCCGATGATACAGCGATATCAGTTCAAAATAACAACTTTGAAGGAGTAGAAACTAAACTAGAGGCCTCACTTAAAACTATGACAACATACTACAAAAATATGAAGCTAAAACCTAACCCAAAGAAGACTCAAAAATGTGCGTTCCATCTGAAGAACAGACTAGTGTCTAGAAAGCCTGACATCACCTGGAAAGGAGTTAAGTTAGAATACACACCCTATCCTAAATATCTAGGCGATACCCTTGACAGATCACTAAATTTTAAAGAACACTGTGTTGCCTTAAAACGGAAAATATGTGCTAGAAACACTCTATTGCGAAAATTGATCAGCTCAAAGTGGGGAGCTCATCCTAAAACAGTCATAATTTCCACACTAGCTCTATGTTTCTTGGTGGCTGAATATGCATTTCCGGTTGGGGAAGATCAACATACACTAAGCAAATTGATACTGCGTTAAATGAAACAGTCCGCTTCATAATAGGCTGCTTAAAGCCAACACCAGTAGACAAACTATATCCTCTAGCAGGAATAGCGCCAACACATATACGTAGACTAAAATCAAGAAAGAGCTTCCTAAAATGCACGATGAAATTAGAAGGTAATCCACAGACAGCCAGATTAAAGATATGGGAGGTAGAGAGTAAGCAAAAAGTCGAAAAGAAGTTACACCTAGGACATAACAATAAATGGAT